ATCATATATCGACATTCAATAGCTCTCATAATGTTGGCTATCATAACCGATTGTACTAGATTTGAAACTTTCAAGCATATTAGTTTGGTATAAAAGAGTGGAGTACTTATATAGAACATCTTTTATGTCTCAAGTCTAAAGACCATATATACCAATGGGACGACGAAACACTATTTGATAATGAGGTATTTTCAATCATCCAGTATTCTATGAGCGGATCAATCAGTGAACTCATTCTCCAATAAGCATCTACACTGTATCCTTAGTGTCCCCACATGAGCAGCTATGAGACCAGTCGCCTCCATCATATGGACAGGTATATAGTACACTAGTCTATGTGGTTATCTCGATGTCTTTCTTGAGTCACCTATGATCGGGATTATTTAGGTTCTGTATTTAAAAACGAATCGATCTCATTATCGTGATTTCATCATGATCTAATTCTCATTATATATATATATATATATATATATATATATATATATGTAACAAATAATATATAGTGAGAAAAAAATAAAAAATAAAAAAGTGTGTGTCATGTCACACGTGTTATCACTCACTTGATTGGCTTATAGTGCACTTATGACTAGTGTATGTTACTCGAGAAAGATATCGAGGTAACCGGACAAATCATTATACTATATACCCATCCATGGAGGTAACTAGTCTCATAACTACTTGTGCGGGACACTAGGGATATAGTGTAGGTGCTCATTAGAGAATGATATCTCATTGTTCGATAGCAATTTCGTAGTCCTAGTTGTGTATCTGGTCCTTAGACTTTAGACATCAAGGATGCCTTACTTGAGTACTCCATTCTTTGATACCGGAGGTATTAGGTGTCAATAGAAGATCATCTACTATTGGTATTATAAGAGAAATATCTCATGTGTTCTCACTTAGGCAAATCGCTGGTCAAGGTTGATTAGATTGAGAGAATATGATAAGAGTGAAAGTTGAATTAAGAGAGAAATAGTTCTTCGCGAGAATCCGATAAAAGTAAGACCCCAATGGATTTCATATGGGCCTAACAGGATCATGCCCGATATATAATCTCTAGGATATTAGATGACTAAGGAATTATAGATACACGATAAGTTGGACAACATGACAAAATGATTTGATTCTCCTATATCATTTAAGGACTATGGTGTAGTGACTTAGTACCTTTATAGTCGATGAATTGAGTGAATTATTATGAAAATAATAATTCATTGAGTCAAAAGGAGTTCTGATAGGTGCAACTCATGACCAACTTGGTATTGGGCCTAGAGTATTATTGAGTCACATATGGTGGACAACGCGACAAATATAAGATTGAATATTAGATATTCAATAAACCCCTATTTTAATGGATCTATTGGATGAGATCCAATAGAGCTTATAGTGGTTATTGGATAAGAATCTAATATCCATTAAGCTAGTGGTTATTAGATGCAGATCAAATACTCTACAAGACAGATCCATTAGGCTTAGCAACAAGAGCTCTCTATAAATATGAGATAAGGCTTCATGAGTCATAGGTTAGACTATATAGTCGTCGTCCTTCTATCTCCCCCTTCCAATCTTTCTCTCAACTGTGAGTCCCTCTATGGTGTAAGAGGATAGTAAGAGGGTCAACCCCTCTTTCAACTACTATTGTTTGGTGGTGTGCGATCATGAGCAGAGAACCCGTTGCATAAGAAGGTGTATCATCATTGCATCCATTATATGGATCACCCATAGAGAGGAGTTTGTGAGAGCTCTTTCATCCCACGAACTGAGATATGTGATTTAGGGGATAAACGATCGCCCCTCGGTGAGAACGTCTCAACCACTTGGATGTGGGTTTTATCATTTTGAGTTTTATGCTCCTCGTCATCACAAGACATACGATATCTTTGTTTTCGGAACCAATTTTGTTTTTATTTTTTGCTACGCATGTGATGTTCCATAAGGTTTCTCAATATTGATATTATTAGATTGCGTTGAAGGTATGAAAATTGGTGGAGAGTTATTGACATGTACATGCCGATGCACTTTGGTGTCACTCGGGCGAGGAGAGAACAAAGATATCATTTGTGGTGCCGAGAGTATTATTTTATCAAGCATTGTGAGGTGAATTTGAGAAGAAGTACATGGAGAAGTTATAGAGGGGGTGAAGTATTGCTAAACTAGAGTGATAAGGGAGTGTATGTCTTGAGGAGAACTGATGATTGACATTGTGATAGGTGTGTCTAAGGGTCTGAGGTGTACTCGTATAAATCTATCGATGTATGATTATTAGAGTGGCTTGCATTACTGAAGGCTCATGGTTTTGAAAGGGAAAGGTAGACTCGATAAAAATAATATGATATAATATAAAGGCCTTTTAAGTTTGAGGATCATAGTACTAGAAAGCATTATGTTGAATCCTAGATTTTGACGATGAAATCAATTGATGAGTTTATGGACTCTCTTGAACATAAAAGTGTTATAAACTCTCTTGAAAAATGTTGAGTCTCTTCCTCCTTGAGTGTAGAGGTTATACTAAAGAGCTGTGAGGTCTTATATAGATGAGATATATAAATATTTTTTCCTAAGCCTATTAAAATGAGAAGAGAGGTGTAAAGTTTTTCTTGTAAGCCTATGAAAAGAAGAACGGTTGTAATAAGAGTAGTTGATCTTCGTCCGTTGAAAAAAAAAATAGTAGTAAATGCCGATGACCTCGAGAGAAGAGGAATTATGAGTGGACGCAGGTCGGGACGATCGAACCACTATAAATCTGGTTTATATTTCCTTTTATACTTTTCCTTACTATTACTAACTGATTTAGTTGTTCACTATCCCTACTTACATTTTAAGTTACATACATTTTCGATACGTATTTTTTGATAAAAAGTTTTCAAATCGAAACTTTATTTCGAAAGCACTAATTCATCCCTTCTTAACACTTTTACGATCCTAATAATTGGTATCAGAGTTTGGTTCACTTAGTTGTTTTAGCACTCAGGAGAGATTAAATGATATTTTTTAATAATCAAGAGGGTCATTTTATTACTCGTCCTATATTTAGTGGGAGAACTACACTTTTTGGAAGACACAAATGCAGATGTTCTTGATTTCTATGGATTTCGATTTATGAAATGTTATGATTTTTAAAACTCTTCTAAACTGGAATGATTTCGAAAAGAAAATATTTTCTTTAAATGCTAAAGTTATAAATATTTTATTTTGTGCTTTAGATAAAAATGAGTTTAATCGTGTTTGTATATGTGAAATTGCATGATATTTGGTAGAAGTTACTCATGAACACATAAATAGAGTAAAAGAATCTAAGGTTATCTTTTTGGCACATAGTTATGAATTATTTAAAATGAAACCAAACGAAACCATTGGTTACATGTACACTCATTTTACGAATATTATTAATGGTTTAAAAGCTCTTAGTAAAAGTTATGCTAATCATGAATCGGTAAATACGATTTTAAAATCTCTTTCTAAAAACTGGAATTAAAAAATAACGGATATTAAAAAAATAAAAAATTTGAATGATTATCCTCTTGAATAATTTATAGGATCTTTAATGTCTTATGAAATAATATGTAAAGTATATTATGAAAAAGAGAAATTTTTTAAGGAAGAATATTACATTTAGAACTAAATAAGATTATTTTAAGTGAAGATGATGACATGACGAACTATACATCGATGGTGCTTATTGATAGTCAATGAGATATATAACCTATCCAAAATATCTTTATCTTATAATGAATTACTTAATACATTTGATGATTTATATGATAAATTTAAAATAATTAGTAAAAAATATAAATTACTAAAAAGGATCATATATCTCTCTAAATTAGATAAATTAAAAAATAAGTTAATAATTAAAAAAAATTAATATTTGATAAAGCGATAGGGCGATAGTTTGTAATATTGGTAGATTTTTTTAACTAGATGAAGGTTACGAATGTCTTAGTCTAATCTAAAAGTAAGTAACATTTTCATAAAAGTGTTAAAAAATATTTGAAAAATGATTGGAAAAAGAAGACCAGTAGGATTTATAAAATTCACTTGTGAATCAATGAAGCTGAAGGCTTTTGCCCATTCTCATGGACTTCACAGCATACGGGATTACCTCTAAAGCGAAAGGTTTATTTAATTAATGGGGACTTCCATAGGTAATCTAGGAAAAGAGGATAAATTTTGCCGAGTACAAGAGGATAAAAAATACTAGTGATTGCATAACATATCCATGATGGTTTTAGTATCTTAAATAAATTCCTTTGATAAAATTTCTCCTACGTCTACATTTAGCCTTAGCCTACCATTGTAGTTAATTTATTTAAGTAATATAATTTGAAGGTTATAGAGAGTAGTTAAATGTGTAATGGCAACATTAGATGAATCATTTGTGCCAAGATGAAACTTAGCCAAATTGTTCTCAATCTTTCCAAGACAATCATTAGGGTTAGACTTAATTTGGTGGAAAGGTGCGGTTCGAAATCATTAGATTAAACAACACACCATTAAGGCTTGACAATATTTGTTGAAGCATCGTGACCGTCGATTCTAAGTAGATGTGATGGTGGACACATCACCGGGTCCATCACGTGCTTGGCATGTGTTGACACGACGTGGTCAGCCACCTTCGTCTTCGGCATCGGTTAACTGACGACTTTTTCTAGTCAGGTTAATACTGTATTCAAAACGAAGGGTCAACATTTGATCCTCCATTGTCTTCTAGAGAATCCATCCTCAATTGAGACTCAGCCACTAAGGATTGATCTCCTTCTAGAGGAGAGGAAGCAGAAGAAGACAGAGAATTTTCTGAAGGCAAAGACCAAATTCTAGTAAGAAAATTCTACAAAGTAGCCAGCGGAGAAGGCGATAAAAAAAATTTACTAATGAGGTAAGAACTCCATGATTGTCACTATATTAATAGTCTTTCATCGTCAAGCTAAACAAAGTACTTCAATGAAGTCTTGATATGTTCCAACCGCTTGATGGGGGTGGGACGAATGGAGGCAGGAAGATGTCTTGATATGTTCCAATTATTATATTCACCATAAACTCTTCTCTAATTCCCATGACTCTGAACTCATAGAGCTTTTGCATTCGGAGTAGTCTTCACATCAATCCTAAGCCAAAACCAAAATGCTTAGTGTACACAAACGTTTTCTGACCCTCGCAAAAGCTTTCCAGCTCACTATCGGCCTTCCAACATCGTCGTCATCGATGCGTGGTTTGTGGACGAGTCTTGCTTGCTCGTAGATGAATCGGTTTCAGATGCAATGATAAAACCTGGTTGTCTTGGTTGTCGTAGGAGAGCACTGTCGCCGCCCAACATCACCACCACCGACGACATCGTTGGTCTGTCTTCTGGTCGCGCTTGAACGCACAAAAGTCCCACCTTTATACACCTCATGACTTCTGCCACGGAAAGCGACGACTGCCCCATTGACCCATCCGCTAATTCCAACCCTTTACCTTCGTTCCAAAGACTCCATATCTGAAATCGATTTCGTAATTAAGGTTCAGAATTATGTATGCATTGAAGTGGAAGTCTAATGTAAAAGATGACATTTTGGTGCACTTACATGTGCTAGAAGATTTAGGTGGTGTGCAGATTGATAGACTCCTCTGTTCTTTTTGCCACTTACGATTTCCAGCACCAAAACACCGAAGCTGAAGACGTCAGATTTCACCGAGAAGATTCCGTCCATGGCGTACTCGGGAGACATGTATCCGCTGCATTGTTAGGGAAGATGATAAGAGAGATTCGCATTACGTGCACCTAGAGGTAAGATCTAGAGTTGGCACGTACTACGTCCCGACGACTCTCCTGGTTCTTGCGTCTGTGTCGTCCCCTCCAAACATCCTTGCCATGCCAAAGTCCGATATCTTGGGGTTCATATCCTTGTCAAGAAGGATGTTGCTAGCTTTCAGATCCCTGTGAATGATTCTGAATCTAGAATCATGGTGGAGGTACAGAAGGCCTCGAGCAATCCCCACGATGATGTTGTACCGTATTTTCCAGTCCAACAATGCACCTTTAGCCTTGTCTGATTACAGATTCAGAATCATTCATTCTTCAGCTGAGAGAGCTCCGATTGAAAGAGGAAGTAGTGAATGGAAGATTAACTAACCAAATAAGAAGGAATCCAAGCTTCCGTGTGGCATGTACTCATAGATCAGCATCCTCTCCCCTGCTTGGATGCAGCAACCGAGAAGCCGGACGAGGTTACGGTGCTGTAGCTTGGCAATTAGCGTTACCTCGTTCTTGAACTCATCCAGGCCCTGCGTCGATGTCTCGGATAACCTCTTCACAGCTATCTCTTGGAGCTCCCGCAGCTTACCCTGTAATCGTCGCATTCAATGGCCAATTAACTTGACGCACATCGACTGCCAATAGTAGAGAATTCGGCGAAGCTTCACCCTGTTGAGCTCGTTTATACCTTGTATACTGGACCAAAACCGCCCTCACCAAGCTTGTTGTCCATGGAGAAGTTGCCAGTGGCGCCTGCTATTGTGTCCAAATCATATAGTGGTAGGTCCATGTCCTGTTCGTGTGTTTCTTCGTCAATGTAGCGATCTGTGAAACAAATTGAACCGGTAAAAGGTATATCTCACAAATTAAATAGAAGAAGATGACAAGTGTTGATGGTACTTCTTCTCTTCTTCCTTCTCCAAACGAAGCAAGCAACAGAAAGTAGGAAAAAGGTTGCCAGAGCAGAGACTACGATGATGATCACGACCACATGATTCCGGTGAGACCGGCTTGCTTCAGAGCCTGAAAGATAAACGTCATCTCGTGAATTCAATAACAGATCAATTCCTCACGCAGACTACCATGAAAATTGATCGAACGTACCAAGGTCGGCAGCCGCCAGCCTGACATAGATATCTTGTCCTGAACCACTGTCGTACATTTTGATATCGGTGAGCTCCGTCGTCCATATGATGCACCCGCTGCTGCTCTCACTTCCACTGATGTTGGCACTGGCATAGGCTTTGCAGGAGCAGTTCCTCCGGCACAAAGCCTCGCACTCCTCCAGGCTCATGCTCCTGTCCACCATCGACGTCGACGTGTGCGGTATCTTTACGCTGCTGAGCGTGATGAACCCGTCGGTCCCGTTCCGGCAGTCCAACGCCGTGTTCCTCACGCAGCCGTCCGTCCCGTCCCTGAGATCCCAGCTCCTGGGATTCTTGGGGTGAAACCCCTGCAAGCACTTGCACTTCGGCGACTCGTTGGGGTAGCAGACGCCGTAGGGGCCGCAGGGCGACAACATGTTGTCGCAATGGTCGTTGGGCGCGAACCAGAAGACGCTCCACATCTCACTTTCTTCGATCCACACCAAACGCTGCAGCATGCCCGACTGGCTTATGACCAACCTCGAGACGACCGAGGATTCTCGCATGTAGAACGAGTACACGATCTCGCGGGCGTCCCCCACGAACACCATGTCGAACACGTTGTCGGTCTTCATCTCCTGGATGCCACTGAACTGGCGGCCGTTCCATGAACCCCCGCGCCAGTACCGCCGGCTCCCGGACCACAGAAATATCTGCGGAATCCCGTGCACGTCGAAGCCGGTGCCGTACTCGCTCGGCGCCGGATCGCTGACGCTCCTCCATGCCGTGAGGTTGCGGTTCAGCCCGCTCGTCAGGTTCCACCCGATCTTCATGCTCGGCAGAAGTGTGTCCGTCAGGAAATCGAAGCTCTGCCACGCAAAGCTTCTCGGATCGTCGTCACTGCCCTCCTCCTCCACGACGAAGTTCCCGTTGTCGAGGAGCCGGGCCACTGGGTTCCCAAGGGCCAGCGGGCCCGAGGACCAGATGACGGTGGAGTTCTTGCCGTCGGTGATCACGAGTGCTCCGTCCGTCTCCAAGGACAGCTTTCCGGAACGGCCGGTGACCGGCCGCTGGCGGTTGGCAACCCAGACCACGGTCTGGATCGGGATGCGGTGGTACCATATGCCGATGTAGCGGTTGGTAGAACCGACGGGGCTAAAGAAGCCCAACTCGAAGCTGCCACCAGCGGAAATTAAGCCGGTTTCTCCGTCGTCGACGAGAGGTCGGTTGGGTGTGACAGTGTCGCCTCCAATGGCGGGGGAACAGAGGATGGAAGCAGTGAGAAGGTAGAGAAGCACCGAGGCCTTCGTCATCCTCCTGGCCATCACCAATCACTAGTGCTAAGTTTCAGACACATTCGAAGGCCCCCCAATTTGTCGGACATTATTGTTTATTTACGACTTTGACTTTTCACTATTGGATTCTCACTCGGTCAATTCAAACGTTTGACTTTAACTGAGAGGTCGACTTCAAATGAATTAAAAAATTTAAAATCAACCTCCTGTCCAATAGAAAGAGTCTCGAACGTTTTGGCAAATGAAATAAGAGTCATCTTCACGTTGAGATGTTTACTGTGGAATTACGTCGACAAAGTCGTCGAAGCAGATGCATGATTTGCTACGGCAAGATCATTGTCAGACTTATTCGTGAAATCATTATGGAAAAGGACAATAATCTTCGTTCACAGCATTATTTTATGTTCTTGTGTTGTCAAAATCTATTTTTTTTTACAAGAAAAACAAATTTATTTGGTTATTACTGTCAGTCTAAAAATGACTCGTGATGGTCATTCATTATATAGGAAATTTCAAAATTGAGAAGGGGAAAAAATGTTTTCACAAAATATAATTATTTTCTGCTCAAGCAGTTGGCTGCTCGATTGTATTTCCTGAAATAATGTTTTAATTTGTAGGAGACTAACATGTATTATGTATTAGCATTATTATTTATTTACCACTGACTTTTCTCTCTTTGTTTCTCACTCGGTCAATTCAAAAGTTTGACTTTCTTTGTCTGAGACGTCTGCTGAAGTAGACGTCAATTCCACTGTTGAAGCAGACGTCGACTTCAAATTAATTAAAAATTGTAAATCATTTTCTTATCTAAAAAACGAAGTCTCTAATTATATTAAATCGCTCTTTAATATAGATGGATTAGACCCTCAAATTGTAGGTTACGGTCAACGTTTGGCTCATGGAATATGACTTTTGAAGCTTGACATGATCACGTTGTTGAGATGTTTACTGTGGAATTACTCGACAAAGTCGTCGAAGCAGACGCATCATTTGCTCCGGCAAGATCAGTTTGAGACTTAAGGTCTTCGTGAGATCATTATATATATGACTAAATTACTTAAAGTCAGCAATCTTCATCCACACCATTATTTATGTGATATTCTTATGGGACTTTTATCGTTGTCGATTTCGATCGAGACAATTATTTAACATGAGGTGAAAAAATAAAAATTTAATTTATATGACAAAATATACTATAGATCATCGAAGAAGGTTATAACGTAACTACAACCTCTCAGGAAGATTAAAGAACGGATTATTCCCTTCGAGTAGTAGTTGATAAAATAATATATTTTTTAAATTTATGTTATAATAAATTTTAAGGAGGTATTGGGAGATCTTGAAGCAAGAAAGAAAGTAAATTAAATGAAAAGTGATAAGGGTAAAAACAGATTTGACGTAATACGCCACGACATCAGCCATACTTGGATGACACACTGCCCAAGGAAGGGGGCATTAACGCCGATTTGACATGCACCGACGTCACCCGCTCCCGGTCAACGACTCCACCATCTGACCCTGCGCGCTCGGCCGAAGCAGAGAAAGATGTCGACCGAGGCTCGCCCATACCCTGCGGCAGTTCGGTTCTCTACGCTACTCCAGCGATAATGTCAGACGCCATCAAAGGTACGACCCTGCCTCTGCAAGCAGGCACATCAGGTAACATCAAACCCAACTACAAATACCCCAGAGTTCCAAACGAACAAAGGGGGACAGAACTCACACAGAAGCACTCCCTCTTCCACCACCCTCTCTACGTCGCTAACTTGATCGTCGGAGGGGTCGGGCCAAGCCTCCGACCTGACCAGTGTGCAGGTGCGAGACGAGGTTGCCTCTTCCCCGACGCTGCGGCAGAGCTATCCCCCTGATGGGACATCCAGATCACCACGGTCGGCCATCGGAAGGACCCGAGGCCCGCCGCGCAAGATCCCCGTCATTCGGACCCCTGAACGAGCCGCGTCGGCCCCGAGGCCACGGCTAAAAAAATTATTTACCATAACAGATTGGCGCTAGAAGGAGGGTCCGTCCGAATGTCGAGCGACCAGCGAATCCACTTTGGCGAACCCGCAGTCGTCGGGCTGCCCACGATCACCACCCCGGCGGAACATCCCCCGCATGATGAATCCCATGACGAACACCCCGCCGCAACGTCAGAGCGTTACTGGCGGTTGTTCAATGACCCGGGCTTATCACCTCCCGACGGCGCTCCCGTCGGCCCGTCGCCGATATCATCCGAGGCCTTTCACGACCTTGCTCATCAAGTCCGAGCCATTACGGGCATGGTGTAGGCTATCATCCCGATCGTCTCCCAGCGGACCCCCCCGCATGCGGCCCGGCCTTCGCGACAGTAGGAGACCCCCGTCCGGACTCACGTACCACTTCCCGAGCTCCCCACCTCGCCTCGAAACCCGATAGCCCGGCCCAGGAGCCGGGAGGCAGAAGACACGGCGAGCCGCCCAGACCCCGAGCCCGAGGCTCCATCTGCCGACTCAACAAATGCCCTGCGAGCTCAGTTGCGCCTCGTCAGCTAACGACTCGACGAAGTACAACAAGAAGTTCGTAAGTCAAAGGGAGAGCTCGGGGCAGACGGACAGCAAGGATCCCCGTTCACCCCCGAGATACAAGATCAAGCGATTCCGCCAGACTTCCACCTCCCCTCGCTAGATGCGGTATTCCCAACAACCCTGCGGGGGCCAGCCCGCGTGTGGTATAGCGGTCTGAAGGCCGGGACCGTCGCCTCCTTCGATCAACTTGCCAAAGATTTCGAGCTTAACTTCCTGGCTTACGCTCGACCAAAGCCGTCTGTAGCGTTGCTCCTCGGACTCAACCAAAGGGAGGACGAGCCCCTCTCCCATTTTGTGAACCGTTTTATGACGCAAATTCGGGGACTGTCAGACGCTCACCCCTCTCTGTTGATGCAGGCATTCATGACAGGCCTGCGGCCTTCCAGGTTCTTTTGGTCTCTCGTGGAGCGGCCCCCCGTCGCGGTCCCCAAGATGCTTCAGCGCGTTAGCCAGTTCATTGCCACGGAGACATGGATGGCTGGGAAGCGGGAGGAGCACAAAAAGGTCAAGTCAGAGCCGCCCCGACAGCAGCAACCCGCCGCGTCCCGGCGTAAGTTGGATAGATCCGGCCCAAGGTCTCCTCTCCCCGCCTTGAATTCGTCCCGAACAGAAATATTTCTCAATGAGAAGGAGAAGGGGCTACT